CTGCTGTTGGCGTTGTTCGTGTTGTTGCTGGTGGTGCTGGTGTTGTTGGTGTTGCTGGTGTTGTTGGTGGTGTTGGTGTTGGTGTTGGTGTTGGTGTTGGTGTTGGTGTTGCTGTTGGTGTTGGTGTTGGTGTTGGTGTTGGTGTTGTTGTTGTTGTTGTCGTTGTTGCTGTTGCTGTTGCTCTTGCGGTTGCTGTTGCTGTGTTGTGGTTGTTGTTGTTGTTGTTGTTGTTGGTGGTGGTGGTGTTGGTGTTGTTGTGGTCGTTGTTGTTGGTGTTGGTGTTGGTGTTGGTGTTGGTGTTGGTGTTGGTGTTGGTGTTGGTGTTGGTGTTGGTGTTGGTGTTGTGGTCGTCGTCGTCGTCGTTGTTGTCGTTGCGGTCGTCGTCGTCGTCGTCGTTGTCGTCGTCGTCGTCGTCGTCGTCGTCCTCAATGTCGTGTTCATCTTCCGCATCATCAGCGGTATCAGCATGCTTGACTGTTTTGATCGTGCCTGTGGCTCTTTGTGTCATTGTTGTTGGTGCTGCTGTTGCGAGCTTTACGACATCACTGTCGCGATACCGCCACTCTTGTGATGTTGCCACATTCGCGGCTACTGGTGCAACTTGAGGACACTTACCGGTTGCATCGATTCTTCCTGTTATTGTTGTCATAGTGGTGCTAAATTACTTGGGCTAGCTATGCCAGTATGACTTTTGCATACTTGCCATTTCCGCGATTCCTTCCGTAATCTTTGAGTGTTACTACTACTAGTCCCGCCACCATCAGCCGTACTGCAGCCATTAGCACGAACAAGCGATCACAGACACGCCCTGCTTGAGAGGCTCACTCCTGCTGCGGCGCAAACCCGGAGGCAAACTCTCAGAAGATGCCATAACATAGGAGCCTTAATACTTAGAATAGGGTTTTGGGAGTATACTATACTATAACTCTATAACTGTAATAAGGAACCCAAAATAGTATCGGTAATGATTTAGGCACCTATATTACCTATTCCTCTGTCTTGGGTGCAGCGCGAGCGGGGCAGTTTTGGGGTTCAGATTCAGACGGGATTCTTTAAGGCTCCATGTGCCCCTCTAGTACACACCGTTACTTTGGCCTTCAAACCTTTATATTAAAACCTAGCTAGAACCCTTTATTAAAGGAACCCTGTGAAACCCTATTCTGAGCCCTTATATATTGAGGAACCTAACCCCAGACCCTAAACCGTATCATTAAAGCCCTTAGACCCCTAAACCCTAAACCCTAAACCCTAAGCCGTATCACTAAAGCCCTTATACCCCTAAACCCTAAACCCTAAACCGTATCATTAAAGCCCTTATACCCCTAAACCCTAAACCGTATCATTGAAGCCCTTATACTACATAGGTGTCGGATCCCATCTGCAGGCCGCAGTGGGCTCACATGGCCTGGGCCAGGCCAGGGCGTTGAAGCCTTGGGGCCCTTTGTTGTTAAGGGTTTAGGGTTTAGGGATTTAGGAATGTTTAGGGCGTAGGGTTTAGTTTTTAGGGTTTGGGGTTTAGGGATGTTTAGGGCTTGCCGTTGAAAGTTCCCATAAGGGCTCCTTGAAGTATTCCGTTCATGAGGGTTCCTCAAAAGCAACCCTTACAGGAACCCTTAGAAAAGAGCCCTGAAAGGAACCTGAAGGGGTTCCTTTAAGGCTCCTTTTAGGTATCAGGGTTAAGGGTTTAGGGTTTGGGGTTTGGAGTTTAGGGTTAAGGGTTTCGGGTTTTAGGGTTTAGGGTTTCCTATCAGGGATCTATAGGGCTCCTCTGACCCAAATCGCAGGCCAACCAGCAGACCTTAAGTTTGTACAGTATCACAATGTGGTAAGGGTTGCACAGGGCACGCTCTAGCATGGTCCGAAGAGCACTGAGGTTAAGATTGATCTTGAAACTTGAAATCTGTCTTCTCCTCAGACCGCTTTAAACCCGTAGGTTGGATCTGCCGGGGGTCAGATTCCGGGCTTCTTCTGCACTTTCGGTGTCGGAAGTATTAATGATATTATTCCCTTGTACGCCCTTGAATGGCAAGCAGCAGCAACAACAGTGGTGAAGCGGTGCAGCGGTCAGACACTCACGACTTCTAGATCCTAGGTATAAAGACATACTGATCTAGTGTTGTATGTCCATACATGTGGTACGCGCCCCGTGGTCTCCCAAGTACGATGCAGAGTCGAGCAGCTCAACACAGATGCCGACGGTTTCTCGCTTTCGGAGCATCTTTGGCCAGGTGTTGGATTTGGAGACCGGCGCAAATGTGCCCTGGCCCGAAGCTAGTTCGGCTTGTACTTGAATGTCGGCGTGTCCCGCGTGGTAACGAGTAAGAACACCGGCGAAGAAGGGACCAGGTGGTTTCGAGTGGTACTATGGTGCTGAGATTCCACGCTTGGCCAGGGCTTGTTCATAAATAGGACATCATTACGGGCCCCCAAGGCCAGCGAAGTTTTCAGTATGATACGGCAACAGCCAACACTATCTGAGTTGAGGCTGCGTTGAAGCATCTTTGTGACGGCCATAGCCAATGCAATGCTACTTAATTCAGAAGTTAGCACGTGATTCAGCAGTGCTTGGACACTCGATGATAGTTCTCTCCCTTTCTTCTGTGCGTGATGTTGTGGGCATTGCTGCCATGGTGAACTGTGGCAGTTTGTCAGCGCATGCAACCTGCTCGTTGAGCTGACTTTTCGCGATGATTTTCCTTGAACTACAGGTGGAGACTGTACTTTCACTGAATGTTTCCGTGATTGCATGATGCACGCTGCAATCTGAAACTTTCATAGTGCTCTATAGTACAGTAACCAAGGGCGACCGCCATCCCAGCAGGCACCCCCTACGCGAGCAAACATACTCATGTTGAATCTGTAGCCACGCACGGACAGACGGATGGACAGACCTAGACATACATGTGAGCACACCCGCACACCCATTCAGCAACTGACCCACCCGCAGACAAACAAGCCTGCTTCTCAAGCCAGCCAGGGCTGCAACACACGGGTCTGGATACTTACCTATAGGCCCCATAGTAGTTCCTTTTTGGGATTACGTTATAGGATTCTAGAAATGAACCCCAAAAAGGAACTACTATGGGGCCTATGGGCAGACGTTACAATTGCTGTCACACTATGGTCTAACCCAGAGAACCTTACGCATTCTGGCCATGAGACTGAGCCTCTTCTGCAAATTTCACAAGACATGGAACGGTTTAGGGTTTAGGGTTTAGGTTTAGGGTTTAGGGTTTACGGGACCCTATATCAACCCCTAGGCCTCCACACAACATCTTATAAGAACCCTTAAGACGCGCCCATTCAAGGGGCCTTAATAATTAGAACAGGGTTTTGGGGCCCATTATACTATAATTACAAAAAGGAACCCGGTAATATTCGTTAGGCCCCTACATAACCCTAAACCCTAAACCCTAAACCCTAAACCCTAAACCCTAAACCCTAAACCGTACCACATCCAGCCACAGGAGACGCTCGGACCTGAGTTGACAGAGGACGCAGGGCTCTGGGGACTTTGGATTGCAGATACCCACAGGCCCTAAAGTAGTTCCTTTTTTGGGGTTCATATATGGGTGGTTGTCAAAATTAGGGTCCCTTTTTGGGTCCTTATTATAATACGGCACCTATTATTTAGGGTACCCCAAAAGGGACCCTAATTTTGACAACCACCCATATAGAATCCTATAAGGTAATCCAAAAAGGAACTACTATGGGGCCTATGGGTACCCACTGGCTTCCCGGAGATGTGCAAACACAAAAGCCTGAAATACATGGTTACGCAAAACCCTTAAAACCTCAAACCCTAAAACCCTAAAGCCTAGACCAACCGGAAACAGACTGAATCGTGAAAGCCTTCAAGAAGGAAGCGATCCTTCAGCGATTCCCAAAGCTACGTGCTCCGGAGACTCCAGAGGAGATCCACTTTAGGGTTCTAGGGTATGGCATTGGGTTTAGGGGTTTCAGGGTTTAGGGCTTTGGGCTTAGAGTCTTGGGTTTAGGATTTTGGTTCTGGATTTTGCTTTCAAGAGCTTTTGCAGTCTCACTGTGAACTTCTCCTTGCGGCAGAACCCTAAACCCTAAACTCTAAACCACAGTGGCTCCGTCCTTTTCTGGAAAGATGACGCGGTTGGGAGGACACCGCCCCAAGAAGTGATCCAGGCTGGAGCCTCAAGAGCAACTCCCAGTTGCCTGTGTGTGCTTGTTTGTTAGGGTTTTGGGGTTCAGGGTTTAGGGCTTAGGGGGGCTATTCACTGCACAGACATATTATGTCTGTCAGTATGTCCGCGTGTCTGTCTGCATCTCTGTGCGTCTGTCTGCGGTCGGTCCGTCCGTCCCTCCGTCCGTCCGTCCGTCCGTCTTTTTTACGGCAGGCAGGCGAGCAGGCATGAAGGGTAGACGTGTTTGCATGCGTGTCTGTCTATCGAGTGAGTCAGTCAGGCACAGCATCGGCCCAGAAAGGAACCCGTCTGTCCCAGGGACTCGAGCAGTTCTGTTTTGTTCTTGGAAGGCGCAAAGGCAAATTTCAATATAGCCTCTGAAGCCCAGTCCCCAATACAGTCACTGCCAGACCCTAATTAAACTCCCGAAAATGCCCAGCCGCGTCTAAACCCACAAAGGGGCAGAGATGGACGTCGAGAAGACGTTCGATGGAAACATGGCCGCGCAGATGGTCCTGGCAGCAGTTGTCCTGCAAGAGGACTTGCCACCAGAGTTTGGGGGTTCGCATAAAACTGGTGGCAGGGTTGTATAGCCCTAACCCTCCAGGTACCTACTATATAGGGCCCTATAGGGGCTCCAGTCCCCTATATAGTGGGTACCTGGGGGGTTAGGGTAGGGTTGCAATACGGCTTTCTAGTACAGTAGGTTTATAAGGGGGTTCAACAGCATCTTCTCGGGTTCGCCGTCGCATAGGAGTTGGAGTCGGAGTACTGGCAATTTTGTACCAACCTTACGAAAATCATCCATGATTGAAGCGTTTCGAGACTTCTATACTTGTTCGGTCACAAAAAGTGGAGAACTATGTTAATCGCACCTCTGAAGCTTGGGGTATAACTGTTGATGGACGAAGTCCTGCATGACCTTATATATACCTAAACTCAGGGATTTATGGTACTATACTATGTTTGGGTCATGCAGAATTTTGTCCATCAACAGAATGAACCAGTGCCAGACTTGGTTTGCTGCGCTGGCTGGCAGCCAAGTGCTTCAGTCCGGATTAGAGCCGCAGCCCTGCAACCTAAAAGCCTTACACCGTGTACTCAAACTATTTGGGGGGTTTCCGAAAATAAGGGGTACCTTATTTGGGGGTCCTTATAATAAGGATCCTACTATTTGGAATGCTATATTAGGGTCCTCTATTTTCGGAAACCCCCATTTATCTTGATCTTGAACCTTCTTAGCCTGGTGAAACCTCAAACCCCTCCAATGCTTAACCCATATCCCCAAGCCCAAGCCTGCAATCAAAAGACAGCCAGAGTTTTTAGTATAGGGTTCAGGGGTTTAGAGTTTAGGATTTAGGGCTTAGGTGTTTAGAGTTTATGGCTTATTTCGAGGAGCGCGTGGCAGTCTACAAAGACTACGATGCAGCGTTCAAGTATCTCCTCCAGGTCTCTTGGTCTTGCGCCGGGTTTTGGGGGGGGTACGTATCGTCTCCGTTGTAGTTCCCTTTTTTGAAAAACGAATTTTATGAATAAGTTTATAAGGGAAACCCGAAACAGGAACTGCAATGGGAGACTATCCGTATTTGTTGGAGGGTCTCCTTTTTCAGTACAGAACAAAGTCAAGTTGTTAAGGGGCTATCCGGTAACCCTTAAACGTTTTTTACTCCGCCTCGTCTTCTTCAGAATTTCACGCAAAAATCTGTACCAAGGCCCGATAAGTTCCTAATTTTCTTCGTGTTGAAAGGCACAGGACCGGGGCTGCAGATATTAAGCCCGAGTCTCCCGAGTTTCCTTCCGCTTGTTTCAGGCGGCTTTGTGCAATCAGGTCATGCAAATCCGAGAGAAACGAAGATGTCCAGATGACGGCAGACTTCTAAATCCAAATGCAGAAAGATCCCGATCTAGTTAGTTTTTCCGGAGTTGAAAAGGACCATTAGCCAGCTCATCTTTTGGAAGTGGAAATCTTGCTTTGAAAGCCAGGCGGAAGGGCAGAAGGCTACTCGCGCCCTGGCGTGGCTCTACCCCTTTGTGGTCCGTTGTGCTACGGTTCGTTTCCAGGTGCTGCAGCACAGCTTGTTGCAAAGATGTCTCACTTTCAACACTGTGGAGTTCATTGTTACATGTGGCCCGTTCATTTTTATCACATGTGTCCATGCACACATACTGATGCACAAGCATACGCTGAAGTACACGCAAACACTCTCTCCTTCTCTCTCTGTCTCCCCTTTCATTCTCTCGCCCCCACTCGCTCTCCTCTCCTCTCTCTCTCTCTCTCTCTCTCTCTCCTTCTCTCTCAAGGTAGCATGTGCGTATGAACACATATGCGAAGACGGTGCATCTTGATGTGTCACGGTGCACAGTGCACAGTATATACGTCTGAATATATGTAGATTCAACATACACACCATCTAAATCATGTGTGTGAGTAGAGAAACAAAATTCACGTGCATGCATGAGTACGTATACCCTAACCTCCCAGGTACTTACTATATAGGGTACTGGAGCCCCTAGGGCCCTATATAGTAGGTACCTGGGGGGTTAGGGTATATATGCATGCATATGGAGACTTTGGCAAACAACTACAGCGTGTGCAGACACACATGTACATAGAAGCACACAGCCATGTCTTTGCTCTCTTCTGATGAATCTGCTCTGCCACAGCTTAGTCCCCAAAGGGTCCAAGTTATAGTATGGTATATNNACAAAGTAGCTACCATATTAATACTTTGGACCCTTTGGGGTCCACAATCTCATGACAGGCCGTGTCCCAGGGAGTGCGTTCGGTGGCCAGGGATCTCGAGACCAGGCCAGGCTCTGAGATCTGTTGGCATGTGGATGTGGGTGGTTGTCAAAATTCTGGTCCCTTTTTGGGTCCTTATTATCATACGGCACCTATTGTTTAGGGTACCCCAAAAGGGACCCTAATTTTGACAACCACCCATGTAGGCTTGAAATGCGTGCGCTTCAACGCGAGTTAGTTATCTTCCCAGGTTTTTACCGAGGTTTAGGACCAGGCTTTGGCATATACTTTGAGTAGGAGTAGGTTCAAATCAAGGGGGCCAGCTAATGATACGTGGGTGAAGCACTCGGTCATGCACGTCCTGCATTTGGGATCCTGCCCCATATATAGCCTTACTCATATATATCCACTCGAGGTGCATCATAGAAGGCTTGCCAAATGCTGCTTCTTGCTTTGTGTTATGAAAATGTGAGCTCGGAGTTTAGTCTGAGACGATGACCCTCATACAGGCACCCAATTTAGAACAGGCGCTGCGCAAAGGCATTCCAGACGGTTCATGTCAGGAACAGTTCGTACTACCCGATTACATTCCTATTCAAGGATGCCTGTCAGTTCGTGCCCACTGTGCCAGAGAGGTCAGAGACAAGCCGCAAGCCGCTCGCGACACAGGCACGTCGACTCCTTGCTGTGGCAGACGATGCAGCGATGCTCTTATCTTGGCATGCAAGATTTTTTGTATCCCCAACCCTGAACCCAACCCTAAGAACTCTGAAATCAACCCTAAAAGCCGATGTCCGAAACTGCAAGGCCCACACCTTCAATGCATCACCCTACACCCTGAACCCTCCATGTATCAGGTTGATGAGGCCTCTCAATCGCTACGTGCTTTGCAAAGGATGGAGGCGGCCAGTTAGGGCATCTGGGTTTCGAGTCTAGGGTTTAGAGTTCTTCTGAGGCCTCAACTCACTAAACTCTGAGTCCTAGTTGTTCAAGCAATGACTAACAGAGGGGCCTGAATAATTAGAATAGGGTTTTGGGGCCCATTATGCTATAAGTATGATGGGGACCCCCCCCCCCCCAAAGTAGTATTGGTAATTATGTAGGCCCCCTACATTACGAGGGTTCTGGAGATGGGGCTTGAGGTTTCCTGTATCTTATCGGGGTTGAGGATGATGCGTGGAGTTGGAAGGTGTTAAGGCCATGAGTCTATTAGTGCTAGGTTTTGCTTGTCCGGACCCAGGATAAGCTGTTGAAGTGTTTGGCCAATTGGACTAAAAGACCCTAAACCCTAACCCTAGACCCTAACAATTTTGGACTATAAGACCCTAAACCCTAACCCTAGACCCTGATACCCAAGCCCCAGTGAAGGGTTACTATAGTCCTAAACCCTAAACCCTAAACCCTATACCCTAAACCCTAAACCCTAAACCCTAAACCCTAAACCGTTCTGCTTTGGGCATCAGCGGCCTTGGGGTGGAAGCTCGTCTGGAGTCTGGGGAAGGCCCAGGGAGCTTCCAAGTCATCTTCAAGAGGGTTTAGGGTTTAGGGTTTAGGGTTTAGGGTTTAGGGTTTAGGGTTTAGGGTTTACTGTTTAGGCATTTTGCTTCGGGTTACATGGGGCTTTGGGGGTTTAGGGCTTTAGGGGTTTGGGAATATGGGTTTTCAGGGTTTAGCACTTGAGGATCTATAGGATCGAAGTTTGGGGGTTCTTTCGGATTTGGGGACAGCTAGAGTCCTGGAGTGCGTAACCCGTAACGGAAATAGGCTACAAGTGTGATGTTTAGGCTTCTGGGCGGAATGCATGACTGTCGATCTACCTTTGAGTCAAGCTTGCCACTCATTCCAAAGTTATGAGGTGCTTGAAGAGTCGGTAAGTCTCTTCGCACCTCTACCACCAGATTCTTGGTATAGGGTTTAGGGTTTAGGGTTTAACTATCGGCTCTTCGTTTTTGCATTGATATCAAGCCCCGCCCTAAACCTTAAACGCTAAACCCTAAACCCTGAATTCTCTCCAGGCCGAACGCCTTCAGTTGGTGGCCGCACACCATGCAGATCAGGGGAGGCAGCTCTTGAGCCAGGACTCTCCTTCGATTACTGGGTTTAGGGTTTAGGGTTTAGGAGCGGCCTCCGGGAACGGATAGTTGTTGGACTAATTATATCAAATCATACTCTACTGTACTCTGCTATGCTATGCTATACTATATCAACTTCTATACGATACTAGGCACTATACACTGTACACATACACTATAATCTATATACTATATACTATGTACTATGTACTATGTACTGTATACTATACATACTATGCTATACTATACTATACTCTATATACTATACTATACTGTAATATTCTATACTGTACTGTACTGTACTGTACTGTACTGTACTGTACTGTACTGTACTATACTATACTATACTAGACTAGACCAGACTAGACTATACTCTACTATGCTATACTAAACTATACTATACTGTACTATACGATACAAGACTGTTTTTCATTGTAATATAACATATTGGACTGTATTGTGTGTTGTTGAGGGTTGTTGATGTTGTTAGAAGAAGTGATCGAACAAGTGGGCTGTGCAGTTCTGTGAGTGCAGCAGTTGGGGTTACCCTCTGGCCCTCCATTCAGGTTTCAGTTCGGGTCCTTTTCGAGTGCGGTGTTTAGGTATTTGGTTAAGCTGGGGTTCATCGCGCGAAACCCGGGACACTGCTTGCGGTATGGTGGTACCGAAGTGACCACGATCTTCAGATTCCGTGGCTGCTAGCATTGTGAAGGTTTGAACTCTCGTGTTACCTGGCTCCAGTTCATTAGGACTGACTGGTTTCCGAGCATGTCAACCACTTGTTTTGAAAGCAATCTGAACAGTAGCAGCTTCGGTTACTGTCAATCCTAGAGATCAAGACCCTGAGCAGCCATGTCTTATTACACGGCCAGTGTTTCGGGCAAGGCAAGAACGAAGCACGGTTGAGGGTTTAGGCCAGCCTAAAATGGATCTGCATAGTACCTATAGTCTCCAGTGTAGTTCCTTTCTGTGGTTTAACCAATTATTTATTAAGGATTGTATAAGGCATCCCCAGAAAGGAACTACAATGGAGACTATTGGTAGTCATCATAGCGATAACCCTAAACCCTAAACTCTAAGCTCTAAACCCTAAACCCCAAACCGTGTATGGGGATTTGAAGCATCACGGTGGTACTGCCGTCCAGAGATGTGATGAAGGCTCCACCGACACCATCCCCAAGGGGACGTAATACTTAGATTAGGGTTTAGGGTTTAGGGTTTAGGGTCGGGCCCATCATATTGTAGTTATGATAAGGAAGCCCAGAATAATATACGTAATTCTTAAGGCCCTGACATTACACCCCGAACCCCAGCCCACCAGCCATGCAGGACGGCCTGGAAGAAGCCTCGGCCAAGACCATCTCCGAGGCAAGGCAATAGATGTATCAAGACACTACGGATGTTTCTTGGGGGCGGCTAGATAAGGCATAAGCATCACCGGTTTCTCTTACAATTTTACATACTTACGTATATTTATTTTGCCAGCTACGGCTTCAGCTACTATTTACTCTAAACCCTAAACCCTAAACCCCAAACCCTAAACCCTAAATGGTGTCCCAGGGTAGCTCGAGCTCTCTCGAAGTCGCCATAGCTACAAGGCAGCTTCGAACTTGCGGGATCGGTGCAACCTTCAGATTCTATGCTCCGGATAATACAATATGGGCCTTAATAGTTAGAATAGGGTCTTGGGGTACCTTCAGATTCTATGCTCCGGATAATATAATATGGGCCTTAATAGTTAGAATAGGGTGTTAAGGGGTATATTATACTATAATGAGAATAAGGAACCCCCAAAACCCTATTCTATTTATGAAGGCCCCTATACTGCGGGCCATGCCAGAAAGCTCGTGAGAAAAGAGTCCAGGTCAAAAAGCGCCTCGGAAGGCTGTCGCACCCTGGCCAGATGAGTCTCCCAGAGACTCCAAAACCCCTTAATTCAGGAATATACCTTAACATATAATAGGAACGCTAATATGATCTAAGGTATATTCCCTAATTAAGGGGTTTTGGAGTCTCTGGGCTGTTGCACGTTTCCTTTGCTTTGGTCACAGTACTTTCCCATTGACATTGGCCCCATAGTACGTAGTTCCTTTTTGGGGTTCATATATAAAATACTGTAAGATAATCCCCAAGGAACTACTATGGGGCCCATGGGTAGTTTCTTTGATGAAATACCTCTCTAACAGGCTCGGGTTGCCGCTAGCGATTTAAAACCCTAAACCCTAAACCCTCGATTGGGCACACTTCCTCCTCCTGCTAGGAATTCTGGACGCGGACAGCTGAGTCGAGGGAAAAGAGGGTATTAAAAACCCTAGCTTAGGCATTGGCTTTTCTTGACCTTGCTAGCTTCCACCCAAAAGCGGTATCGCCCTGGCCTGAGGCAGGACATCGACGAACTGGTGAGTGAGCTTCGGTACACGGCTGCTGACATGAGGCCTTAGTCTTGCTATTGAAGATTCTGGCTGCACATGCCATGTCGGAATGGCAGCTCCTCCCGCATGTAATGCAATCGCCGACCGCAGACTTTGAAAAAGAAGGCAACCCGACAACCTCTCAACTAAGCAATGGCCTTGCTGTCCCTCGTTCTCGAGGCACTGCCAGCAAATGACCCAAGACTTGCCACGAGGGCCTAAAGTTTACAGGTCCATTTGACAAGGAGTCAGTATGTACAAAGGAATCGCAAGCTTGTCCCCGCGGAAACCACCATCCGTTTTTACTTTTTACGTAAAGAAGCCGCTCCTGACACATTAATATAATCAAGTTTCATAGAGAGAATAATAAAGTTGAGTTCGATTTACTTCTATATAAATACATGACATAATATAAAACTTTGTCTTTATATTATATCGTAGTAATATATATATATATATACATACATGTATCGTAAACTATCCTGGGCCTTAAGCCTGAGTCTTCAAACCTGAATCCGGCTGACGCAGCCAGCTTCAAAGCGAATCTGGAGCTCTGAAAGCGGGGGAATACTTACTAGGGTTTAGGGTTTAGGGGGGTAGGATTTAGGGCTTTAGGGTTCAGGGTTTAGGGGTTCAGGTTTAGGGGTTTAGGGATTTTTCTTCGGGCCCGCCTGTATAAATGCACTAGACTTTTGCCCCGAGCCCTATTCTAATGGAAGAATTAGGACGATTATTCCTCCAGGTCACCTGATATAACTATACCTATAATAACTATGGTCTCCCATTGTACTTCCATTCTTAAGGTTACCTTATAGGACCCTAAAGCCTAATCATCAAATCGGTGCAACCCAAATTTAGACGGAACTGCAATGGCGACTATAGGTATGATATACCTCGCAACCTTGTTGAATTGTTAAGGCCCCTACACCTACTGTAGGGGCCTGAATAATTATTTTGGAGGTTTCCTTATTATAATTGTAGTATCATGGGCTCCAAAACCCTATTCTAATCATGAAGGCCGCTATACCCGAAAGCCCTGTAGTAGCCCTTATCGAACCCTTTAAGGAGCCTTTAAAGCAACCCCAAAACCCTATGCTAGTTATTAAGGCCCCTACAGCTACTGAGGCTAATCCTGGCCATCCTTGCTACCCGTGTCAATGCGGCGAAGAGACCTTGGCCGTGCGATTCTCGGGTTAGATGCCCTTTAGATTTCAGCGGTTAGGGTGTGAGGCTTTGGGGAGTTTGGGAGTCTAGGACATTTTCAGGTGGGTAGTTTCCGTTATAGAAGCCTTAGAGAAGGTCTACTTATGGAAGCATTATAGAAGCCCTGTATACCCTAAACTCCCCACCTGTACTTTCCTTTTGGGGAGCATTGGGTTTAGATGCTTAGGGTTTAGGGCTTTGAGTTTAGGCATTTTCTATGTCTCGTTTGGCGCTAGTTACTCGGTGCTCATTTGAGCGATTTTTATACTTACCCAGATGAGCATTCGCTGTTGATTTCACACGATGCATCGCAGGTAATGTGTACGATGATTGCAACACGATTTCACAGCATGCTAGCCCATGTGTGATGCTGCGGTTTTGGAACATCGGTTGTGACAAAGATATGTTGTCCTGCTTTCCAACCACTGCATGACCTCGGCATTTCGGACTACTGATTCGGGTATGCTTCCCCATGTTGTTGCGTAACTCGCACGGAAATCTGTCACCTGGATGTAAAAGCCCCAAAATCCTACACCCTAAACTCTAAACCCTTATACCCTCAGCCCGGAACCCTAAACCCCAAGCCTTACACCTAAACCTGGACCTTCTTGCCTCAAAGCTGACTATCATGGCATGCTGTCACGTCTCCGTCTGCTCCGGAGTCTTTTACTGGTAGTCTCCGAAGAATCAAACCTTCAATGCTTGCTGGGGTATTGAAGGTTTAGGATGTAGAGTTTGGGCTTAGGGCTTAGGGCTTAGGGCTTAGGGTTTAGGGTTTAGGGTTTGGCGTTTATGGACTCTAGGGCTTCGGGTTTACAGCTTGAGGTTTGGAGTAAAGGCATCGGGTTTGGGGTTTAGGGCTTAGGCGGCATGCATGAGGTCGGAGATAGTCGCTTGAGGCCTTTTCTTTTTGGGGTTTTCGAGCTTCAGGGTTAATGGCTTGGCGTGTAGGCATCTGAAGCCCATCAAATTGCCTTCGCTTCTCTAAAGCATAATAAAGCTTTATCAACTCAATTTGGCCTGAGCTTTCGTGGCATCGCAGCAAGATGAGGTTTCTTTACGAGCCATCCCCGGAAGATGACACATTCAAAGGACGTGCATGGCTCAGTTTGCCCGCTGCTTCATTCAAGAAGACCGTTTGGATCGAAGTGCTGACATGTCTCATTGCACCTGGCTAGTACAGGCCAGTCTGCATCAATTCGCTTCGTTATGTATATATATATATATAGATATAGATATAGATAGAGAGTTCATATATATATATACCCTCACATACATATATATATATATATATATCAGCATGATTGTAAAATCAATCAAGACTAATCTTATCTATCTAGTATTTTGTTTGTTTCAAAGTTTCCATGAGTCCCTCCAGCTGTGAAGTCCAGGTGGCATCTTCGCGTTCTGCGCTCCCTGTGACATGCTGTCCAGGCCACGGCAAACGGCAGGACAAACACCGCAACAGCGCAGCCAATAGAACAAGGAGGAAACGCATGATGGCTTCGCATACGATCTCGTCGCGGTCATAGTCATCTTCTTGCTCATCCCTACCTCACCTGTTCCCATGCAGAAACTCCTAGTTAAATCCAAACTCCTAAGACTTTACTCTTAAGCCCGCAACTACCTTAAACCTGAAGCCCCCGCCCCTTGAGCCTAAGCATCTACCAGTCTCTTGCAGGCTGCTCCATCCATGAGCCGCTCTGAGCTCGAAAGTTCATCAATTTATGGAATCTTCTTCAAAGGGGCTTGAACACACAGAGGTACAAGGGTAGCATAGGGGTCGGAGCAATTAGTACTCGCATGCATATCCCCTGTATATACTAGTCATCGTACATTTAATGTTATGATCTTCCTCAACGCCCCTATCCTAACATGATTGTCAAGGCCCATGTATTAGTTTCTCGTACATGGGTCGCAGAAAGGAGAGTTTGGGCGGTCCAGCCGCATTTTGCTGTGTCGTTAGCTCATGATGACTCCCACTAGGGGGGTTTCAGACACCAGTGGTACTTTATTTGGGAATGGATTTAGCAGGATCCCATTTTTCAGGAACCTAGGGATCTATATATGGGGGTTTCCGACAATAGGGGACCCTAATATAGTACTCTAAATAGTAGGATCCTTATTATAAGGACCCCAAAATAAGGTACCCCTTATTTTCGGAAACTCCCATATGAGCATATGTGGCTCCCCTAGTAACTCTTGTCTGAAACCCCGCACATCTGTGTGGGTAAGATAAAAGGGCTCAGGCATCGGTTCAAGCCGAGAGCTCCGACGCTTGCACAACTTGCTAGGAAGGTGTAAAGAATATAGGGGGTTTAGGGTTCCGGGTTTAGGTGTAAAGAATATAGGGGTCGGAATATAATGACCCTCATAATATTGCTTAGAGGCCTGGGGCTCAGTAATATCATTATAGGTAGAACTATACCGACTACGAAACAAAACAGAACCCCCTTCTTATTCCTCAGGCCGCTGTATTACTCCATTCAGTCCTTCGGCTTTTCTTTTGTTTCGACAGTTCCAGGAATCGTCGCAACTATCCTTCCCAAAGGGTCCAAGTACCATTATTATAGTGGTTACTTAGTAGGTATTTGGGCCCTCAAAGTATATACCATACTAGTGCTTGGACCCCTTGGGCTTGCAATATTTTCCAGACTCCGCGCGCGTTTCCGGGCGTGCAGCGCGGCATCTCCGAAGGAGATGGGCCGAGCTCAGTACGAGGGATGCATGGGGTTGAAAGTGTAGGGTTTAGGTTTGAGGGTTTAGGGGTTTAGGGTTTAGGGTTTAGGGTTGAGGGTTTAGGGTTTAGGGGTTGAGGGTTTAGGGTTCAGGGGTTTAGGTGTTGCAGCTGCTCAACTCCGTGATTCGGGGGTACAGGTTGAGGGCTTAGGGTTCGCGGTTGTGAATTGTGAGGCTGATGAAGAAGACGCAAATGATGATGGCAGGGTCGTGGCTGTGATGGAACTGGTGAAGGAGCCCGGGAGATGCTGCAGATGGTGGTGAAGTTAATTTCGATACTGTTCACCATGGTCATGGTGATGCTGTTTGTGACTTTGTTAATGCTATGTTGTGGAAACTGAAAAGGATGGATAACACGTCTGCTGCGCTTCCGGTGACTGGACATGACTTGAGTAGTGCTTCCTTTGCCAGAACTCCAAACTAAGGCAAGGTTCTCTGCACCAGCGGCAGTAGTCGTATATGATATGGTTCACCATGTCTTCAGCATTGACGAAGGTGATGGAATGGTGATGACGACGACCATGGCAATGGGGTCGTTGATGATAATGCTCGTGGTGGTCGTAGTGATGATGGGGCAGGCGTTGCTGCTGATGGCACCGACACCTGTGACAATGACGATACTGCTGCGGGGCAGTGGTGAGTGCTGTCCTTTTCCCTCTGAGATGTTGCTCATCATGATATTGTGCCATGGTGACTTGTACGCCTACCACATTGTCGTTGTTGCGTCGGCTGTTGTCATGAATGCTTGTGAGTTTCCTCGTTGATTTTCGGAGTCTTCAGTTCCGTGTCTAGTTTGCTGATCTACTTAATTTCTGAGGTACACATCTTTTTAGTTAGCACTTAGTCAGTCTGTCATCTGCTTCCGTTAATTCGTTAGTTGATGGTAGCTTGATTTCTTGAATAGCTTAGCTATCTTGCCATGTAGGCAGCCAGTTGCCAACTCGAGCCTGTGCTTCCGTACATCTTGGTCGGAAGCCTTCGCTAGATAAGTTATGTGCAGTTATTTCGCTAGTAGGCTGGTGCGTTAGTTCAGTCAGCTCAGTGAACTGTTTTTCACTTGGTGTCGCCATTTTGCCAATGCAGTTCCT